AGGTGCATTACACCAGATCACAACACGGACACTGTACAGCACTGCCACAGAGCATTTCCTGGTAGTGGCAATGAAAATACTGATTCAAGAATATGTCGGGGCACTGTACGGTATTGGTACAAAAGTACCATGTTTATTTACACTTTCTTATGCATAAGTTCTACACTAACAGAATGCTGTGCTCACGTTCTTTTGTAAATGTYATTAGTACCAGTTGTTTTACTAATCTATAAAAATGGATACAAAATCTGAGTAGTCAAGTTGTGCAATCATTCAAATGGACTATTACACTACAAAGACCACTAGTTTGTGTTGTCTATCAGCTTTTATAAAGTATGGACTATGACAAATCCAGCATTCTTATTGGCTATGGAGTTCTAGAATGCTTGATTATTATAAGGAGATGTAGRGAGAAGGAGAATGATATGCAAACTAGTACTTTTATTTTCCCTGCATGTTTTCTTTGGATATCATGTTGAGCACTGTTGCCAAGCAATTTCTTTATCTTTTTTTTTGTTTGTTGTTGCCACTTGAAGAAATATTTTAAGTATGCAAACATATTCTGTGATACTGTAGACATATGTTTCTTGACTAGTTAGAATGAGATATTATTTTATACATTATTATTTTTAATGGGCTATTGTACAATGGCTGTTATAGATTCGCGGAAATCTTTTCAATGGAGTGCAGTATATTAGTCTTAAATCTGTTCTTCTTTACAGACCTTCCAGTATTAGTCTGTTACTTCACCCAAGTACTGGTGAAGAAGATGACAAGAAATATGTTTGCTTAACACTTGAGATTATCCTTACGAATGAGGTAAGTCTTAATCAAAAARAGCATTTCCCCTTACTATAATTAATTATATTATCATGCTAACAACCAGTACTTTTGGACATTTGTTTTTGTATATTTGTGCACATGTGGCAATTTTACTTGCAGTGTATGTTTGCATAAATAAATGAATGGATAGATAATGAATGGAATAATGAATGAAAGATAAATTGATTGATGAATTGATTTTCAAGAAGATTCATTAGTATTGGTTTCAATATTTGTATTTGTTCCTTTAAAGTACCCAAATGAACTGCCTTCCATTAAGATTAGGAATCCTAGAGGTCTTTCTGAGGCT